ATATATATATGCTATTTCTTTGCGAAATATTATATTGTAATTTTTTTTCTTTTTATTATAGGATTGTTAAATTTTATTAATATTATATATTTTACTTATTTAAACTCAAATACTACATAACTAAAAACTAGCTTAAGTTAATAAATATATACTAACTTCTTATCCTACACATCATATATATACATATGCAGTAAATTTATATAAACATATATAATATAAGTTTTAAATATCAATGTCTCTAAGTAGGAGATGGTAAGTGATCAGGTCTAAATCCTCCCAAAGAAGGATAAGTAATCTAGGGTGGTGCAGAAGGACAACCAGTCTGGGGTTGTCACGCCCCAAAACCCAAATCTGAGGCGTAACAAACGCCGTGCACTTGTGAGAGGGTCCCAGAAATGCACAAGGCTCGGAACTTATCCAAATCACCAACTCTATTCTCGCAAAATCTGTTTTACTACCATAAAATTCAAGGTACAATCTATCTTCCAAAAATGATAATATATTCCATAAATCTATGTCCAACATGACTTAAACTCAAAATAATGAATCTAACTTACAAGGACAACCTAAACTCAAAATCTATATCCAAATGCAATAGCTAGCCAATTAGCTCGTCACTCCCCTTGATTTCCGTGTCTCGGGTCATACTACCTGAAATGGTAGACAAGGGAAAACTATGAGATAAACTTAGTAAGTAAAATATGGAGTGCCGTTATTAAACTTATAGCATGCCAACAAGTGCAATCATGAAAAACGGATACAGTACGGGAACGAAATAGACGTCTGCTCTATAGGTCATGGGCAGTGTTATAAATCTCCCACTAGCAAGCACACGATTTACTAGTATATAACCCCCACTAGCAGGGTCACTCAAACGAACCGGCTCTATCACTAACATGTCTACATGTGCTAGCGTATAATCCCCACTAGCAGGGTCACTAATAACATGACCACATCGGAGACAAAACAAGCTAAAGTTAACAAAAAATCATAATTCATCAATTACTTTCAAATCATGAGGACAATCAATTAAATTTCAAGTAAGTATGCTCAATTTAATGAAAAGCATAAAAATTTCACTTCAAATCAGTCATGCTCGTGTAAAACGGGTGTAGTCCCGCCACCACTTCAAAAATAGATCAAAACATGCTTTTAAAAACTATACGGGTATTACCATAAATTTACTTATCTCACTCGCTTAAAACCAAAGGCTCGATCTCAGTACTAAATTGACAGAACAATTAGGAACCTAATTCAAAACATCCAAAAATTAATACCCATATAACACTACATACTTAATCCTTTTTCTATTGTTCCCGACCAATTCCCAAAATGCAATATTTATTACTTTTATTTTATTTATTTTCATTACCCAAATTGTGTATATATAAATATATTTATATACACATTCATATATAATTTGTTCTACTCCCACGGACAGAACAAAATAGGGGAATAGGACTTTATTTCATTTAATCCTATTTAGCAAAACAATAGCAAATCACGGGATTTTTCTCCAAGAATCGCAACAGCCCAAATCAACTAATCCTACATAAATTAAGCTAAAAACATGTCAAAAAGGCTACCAAATTCATTCCACCTTCCAGCACAATTTCACCTAAATTTCTT